TTTCAGAATAGGGATGGAGAATGACAAGCTAATGAAAAAACCAATGATAAGAACGTAGAAAATGAATTATAAGTACCACTTCTTCGAGGAAGGAATCTTCATGTTACCTTAGGCTGTAAAATCACTTAAATTTTATCTTGGTGCGTTGATTAGTTCTCTCTTATTTGATATCCGCTTAGATGCTACGTGAGCCAGTTTTAGTGTGTTGTAGTTGAGTTTTTCTTGTCTATCGAGCTAGACTTACTCAGACAATTTCTATTTTATTCCTTTTACCACTTTTAAAACAGTTATGGGTCATGAATATTTAATTAATACTTAGTATGTCGGTCATGCAGATTAGGAAATGATGACAACTTGAACGCGGGGCAATCAACATCTGGCATTTTTGTCTGTGCTGTTTGTCAAGTTGATCTTGCTCCAAGTGAGGGCATCTCTGTCCATGCAGGTTCCATTTTCTCGACCAGCTCCAAACCCTGGCAAGGTCCTTTTCTTTGCTCTGATTGCCGGGATAAGAAGGATGCCATGGAAGGAAAACGTCCAAGTGGAGTTAAGGTGTCATAGGCTCATAATTGGGGTCTTGTTCTAGTATTCTTTATGCCCATTATTCACATTTTTTGTTTCCCCGATTTTTATAGCAAATTAATTGATTGAATCTCACTTCAAGTAGCAACAGATGTATATGTAATATCCAAGAATTCAATTAAAATGGGCATTGCATTTGAGTAGCAAATGAAGGCTGGGAGAGTGCCTGGAATGGATTTTTGCGCGGCTGAAGATTCTTCATTTCTGATTGATTGATAGATTTGGATGGTTAAAATTGGTGCCTGGTAAATTCTTTTGTATAGTAGGTAATGTACCCACAAAACTGGGTTTCATCTTTATCTTGTATGCAGCATTGCGTGCTACTTCCTCCACCCCAAATTCCTGTATAAATTTCCATGACCTTTCCAACCCTTGGGGATTGAACGCTTCAAATCTTCACCGTGGATTGAAAATTTAATCCATCCAAAATTAATTGCATATTAATTTTACCCTTCTCCCATGTCTTTCCTTTGGGCTCTCCTCATTTTTGTTAATTTTTGTGGTGGGGCGTGTTCTGTTCGCCACAGCACAAATAAACTGGAAGGATAATGTAATGATTAATGCTTTTTGGTAGAAGATGAAAGCGTACATTCTTTTGAAACTATCGAAAATTTAACCATATTCCCACCACTTATGAGTTTTATCATTCTAAGAGTGGCACTGAAATGAAAATAGGATCTAAATCAAAGGAGTTTTCTACATGTTATTTACATTCCAAATTAAATTACAATATCATTTTGCTGCACAAATGCTAAAAAATCATACACAATCACTTTCACATAAAATTATCAATCTATCATTGTTAAACATGGTACAAATACAGCATAAATTAAAATGAGTAGATGTTTTTATTTGAATTTTAATTTAGTAACAGTACGTGATTTTAATGCTATGATTTATGAAATGTTTAGAACAAATTTTGGCCCATAATGCATGTGGGCACAATGGTTTATGATGACTTTTTCAAAAGCAAGTCAATAAATGAAGTTTAAATATTCGATAGTCATTACAGTATAACTCAATTTAATAAAATAATATTTTTATAATATAATAAAAATAAAAAATAAAATAAAATAAAATAACTATTATTTAAAATTAATTAAATTAATACCAACCTCGATATTATACATATACATATTGTATATATATAAAATTAAAATTTATAAAGTAATTTAAAATATAAATTATATATATATATATATATATATATATATATATATATATATATACACTTCAAAATATAGATTTATATTATTTGTAGGTTTAGTCCTACTCAAATCTGTCACATGATCGTTAAGTTAAAAGTAACATACAATAAAATATAGGATAAATTAGTAATTTAATTTAAGAATGTAAAATTCAAATATAATATAAAATAATATAATTTAATTTTAAATTTTCATATTTCATATCACATCATATTCATATCACATAAATATTAGACGACTTTTAAAATATTAAATATTGAAATAGATATTAGAGATTTACAATGTCAAATTACAACTCCCACAAGTATATAACACAATGATGCTCAATTTGATTTATGCACACATATATGATCAGGGTAAATTTTTAAATAACTTATCAAGATACAATTCTTTTTCACACTACAGGCTAAGTTATTAGAAACTTCCTTCAGCTCTCACATCACCTGATCCTTTCATCTTTATGATTTGAGCGATTAATAGGGTTAAAATATCTCTTTGAGTTCTAAATCAATATCTATACATAATAATACACATAGAGGATACCCCTCACAACACAATATTTTCTAGACACATAATAAAATTTCATATTCATAACATGTATTTTAATAGCTTAAGACATATACATATTATTTCTCATATTATAACAAAGTATAATTTTTTATAATTGACCTATGCCTATTCTTTTGATAATAACTTTTTCTGTAGACATCAGTTTTAACTAATTTTTATTTTATTAGATTTCTTACTTTTAGGGTTTCAATTTTCATAAATGGAATATTAAATTTGGAGTTCAAAATTATTTTTTATGATTTTTTGAAAACTGCTGAACAAATATGAAATCACTAAGTGAATCTCAAATCTACTGAGCAAAATTTTGACAGAATGGAACATCAAACACTGTTTAAAATCCACTAGGCAAATCTAAAAACGCTGAGCAAATTTCAAGCGCTTTCAACACTATCTTGAATTCATTAAGCGGATTTAAATCCACTGGACGGATTTGTGATAGTGGCATAGTGCATAACCTAGGTTCAATACCTTGTTTCTAATATTCCAAATCAAATTGATTCTAAATCTTACCCTCATATTGTAAATCAATTTACTAAATTGAATATAAGATTATCTTTTTCAATCTCATATAAATCAATTATACACTCACATTTTATACAATTATCACAAATCAATACATACATAATCACACAACCCAAATTTCTGAAACTCAAACAATATGACTAAGTTACCTTCACAAGATCTTCTAGCCTAGAGTACTATGAAAATTAAAGAATAACTAACTTTTCTTACCGTAATATAGTACCCCTAAGTTAAAAAACTCTTAAATTTTTAGGAAGAAAGATCCTCCTAAAAAAAACTGAAATTAACAAATTGAGTATATTACAATGCTCATAAATTAGTCAAGATTCATTTTTCACAACAAAGTCTATATGCAAGCCCCGTGGATCCACATGCAAACTTAAACCCAAAATATGAAAAAATAGTCTAAAATTAAGAAAGGAGAATCTTACTCTATTCAAAATTTTAATTAGGTAAAATTGATCTTCTCTCGTTCAGAAACACTAAGGTGTATAGATGAGAGAGAACTAGAGATTTAAAGAGAAAAAAAAAAAGAAAGTTGTAGAGAGAATATGATTTTATGAGAATGAAATTTGAATATTTAAATTTTTTTATTTATAATTATTTTTAGTTTAAATGATAAAAATTTAAACTTCCTATCATTATACTACTTTTATTCTTGACTCAAATTGGGTTCTCACATATATAAAAAAACTAAAATATATTATATCTTTATAAAAAAATTATATTAAAATAATTAATCTTATTTTTTTTTATCAAAAAGCGGTTCGACCCAAACACTCCGCCAATTTTTATTTTATTTTATCGATTTTATTTCGATTTAATTAAAGTTCTGTTATTTAAAAGTAATAAATCGATTTCTAATTTGATTCCTGGTTTAATTGGTTGACCCAATCAATTTGATCTAATTTTTAAAATAATAGTGAGAAATAAGAAAAAACCATCCACTCATGAAACAAGAGAAAGTCAATTTGTTTTAATAGAATTACTATTTTACCCATCTCTTTTTTTATTTTTCATCAATCACTCATTTACCATTAAATTTAATTATTTATTTTTATTTATTTTACAATTATTATAATATTATATGATTTTTTTATAAAAATCATATGTAACTAAATTATGTATTAATTATATTTTAAATATTTTTAATTAAATATTTAAAATAATATAAATTTTACTTTTTAAATACTTTTTTAAATTTGTTTTTTAATTTTCTCTATTATTTTTGTTGCGTAAAATTATTATACTTTTAAAAATAATTTAATAATAATAATATTTATAACAATATATATAAATTATTATTATTATATTAATAATATACTAAAAATAAAAATAAAAAATAATTATAAAAATAAAATAATAATAATAATACTTTTTATATTACCAATTAAAATAAAAATAATTCAAATATTTATAATATTTTAAATTCTAATAATAATAATAATAATAATTTTCATGAAAAGAGTAATTTGGTATCTCCAAATTTTTTTTATTAAAATATTTTTTTTATCATATTAATCAAATTATTCATTCTCATTTCTGTGCCCTCCTTACAATCTTTCCATTAAAACAAACAACTTTATTTTTACTTCTCTTTCCCTTCATATTCATCATTTTTTAGTCTCTCAAATTTATCATCTGATCCAAAGAGCAACTTACTAACGTCGGAAGAGAATAAATCTGAGTAAAAGTTCAATGTTTTTTTTTTTAAGAGGTTATTGCTCATATATATGTTAAATAAATTAAAAATATAATAGTTATAATGTATAAAGTGTAAACCTTACTTAATACTAAGGCTTTTTTGAAGTTAATTTACAATTAAGAGTCTATTTTTTAATATAGATTTAACGTACCATAATAATCTATCATAGTTACTTACCTTTCTCTTTTGGGGTGCTAGGTTCGATTGGCATCTCCCAGAAAGCTACCCACTGTAATAAATTTTCCGTATTTATTTCCCAGAGTAAGTCGTCCATGGTCACTCTCCAAGTCAAGTGCCCTATTAAGCAACTCATACGGGCACGGGAAGAGTGCTTAAACAGTTAAAGAGACTCTCCTCTTCTTCAATTATAACTTTTCAGCTCATTCATAAAGGTAGTGGGTGGTTGAGGAAGGATGAGTCCAGTTTACGAATTTGTGTTACTGCTTTTGTTTTCTAACCTTTTGCCACTTCTCTTGGCTGCTGGGTTCCCACGAGAGTGTCCCCCATCATTTCCTTGCGGATATCTTGGCGACGTCAGTTTCCCTTTTACTAAAGCAGAACGCCAGGACTGTGGCTTCTTGCCCATACGAAATTGTGATGATCCACTTAGCCACAAAATGATCCAACCACAGAAAAATGGTACATGGTTTCAGGTTATACGTGTAACTCAGCTTCTGAGTAATCCTACTACTCCTTTCACAACTTTTCAATTTAGAGACGAAGATCTCTATGCCCTTCTGCAGAACCAAAGTTGTGAAGCTTTCAGAAGCAATTATACTCTTCCTCATACCTCTCCCTTTGCTTCTTTTAGTTTCGCATTCACCACAACTCTGGTCAGGTGCAACCGCAGCCTCCCATTCAACCCTCCCACCAACATGTGTAACTATACAAAGTGCCATGACTACAACCTCTACTTCGGCTACAATCACTCGAGTTCTTTGACAGCATGCACAGAGGTCGAGCTTCCAAATAAGGACGTGCCTGACGGTATCAACCCATTTGCATTCCTCACTGCCGATGTACTGATTAAAGTAGAATTAACTAATGAATGTTTAGATTGCATCAATCGCCAACGAGGGCTCTGTCAACTTGACAGCAGAGAGAGATTTTATTGTGCCAAAAGTTACGGTACGGTTCTTCTGCAATTTTAAATTATCAAAAAATAACTAGAAGAGACTGCGTTACCAAAATGTTTGACATAAATTAAAGGGTTAATATAGATTATTTGTTTTGATTTTCTTTTTCTTTTTTCCCTCACGCAGAGAAAACCAGAAAGAAGATGTTGATTGTGGCAACAGGTAGAACACTATAAACACACCCAATTCAGTTTTATCATTTTTTCATACGATCGATCAGGGTCCAGAAACAATTATTCTCTTAAATAATTTTTTTATAATTATTCAAAGCCATTCAGGCTCTATCGAGTCTAACTACCAGGCAGATTTATATGTTACGTTGGTTTTATTGTTTTAAAGCCAAAATCTAGTCAAGTTGATCAACATAAAAGATAGCCTGTAAACATGTTTGGGGACTTTTATTCATACAAGTTATTACTTTCTTACATACACTAAATATTTTCCTTTTATATTAAATAAATTTTCTAGCTTCGACCTTGTTGGCTGCTGGACTTGTAGTGCTGCTGGTTTTGGTTTGCTGCTTCTGGAGAAAGATCTTTTATCCTGTGTTTTGGAGGGAAAATCCAACTCATCGCATTATTGAGAACTTTTTGAAGGAACATGGACCTCTTCCTACAGCCAGGTACAGTTTTTTAGAGGTTCAGAAAATGACCAACTCTTTTAGAAACAAATTAGGCCAAGGGGGATTCGGTAGCGTATACAAAGGGAAATTACCTGATGGAAGTGTTGTTGCAGTGAAAATTTTAAGTATATCTAAAGGCAATGGAGAAGAATTCATCAATGAAGTTTGGAGCATTAGTAAAACTTCACATGTTAATGTTATTAGACTTTTGGGATTTTGTTTCGAAAATTCACGCCGGGCTCTGATATATGAGTTTATGCCTAATGGATCTCTTGACAAGTTCATCTATGAAGAGAAAAATGAATTAAACGATGTTCATCAACTGGATTGGAAAATATTGAATGATATTGCTATGGGCATTGCTCATGGATTAGAGTACTTGTATAGAGGTTGCAACACTAGAATTATACATTTTGACATAAAACCTCACAACATATTACTAGACGAAGATTTCTGTCCAAAAATATCAGATTTTGGACTTGCAAAGATATGTGCTAGAAAAGAAAGCCTGGTATCCATATTTGGTGCCAGAGGAACTGCAGGGTACGTTGCCCCAGAAGTTTTTTCTAGAAACTTTGGTGTTGTGTCACACAAGTCAGATGTTTATAGTTATGGAATGATGGTGTTAGAAATGGTTGGAAGAAGAAAGAATGTTAACACTGACGTAGACCGGTCGAGTGAAATATATTTTCCTCATTGGATTTACAATCGTCTTGAAGGAAATACTGAGCTTGGTTTAGAAAATATAAGAAATGAAAATGAGGAGCAAATGGTGAGAAAGATGACAATAGTGGGCTTGTGGTGCATACAAACTCTTCCTTCAACTCGACCAACCATAAGTAGAGTGGTGGAAATGTTAAAAAGTGAAGTTGATTTATTGCAAATTCCACCTAAACCATATTTGTCTTCTCCTTCAACATCACCGCCCAATTTCACATTTTGAGAATTTTAGTGTATGATATACTAAGATGTAGTATATGTGACGTTGTTGCAAGTACGCTGCACTTATTACTATTATTTTTTTGCTTAGTTTGATTTCATAAAATAAGAGTAAGTGTATTGTAACTTGTAAAGTGGTTGCATTAGAACATTTCATTTTTTACTTACTTGTTGGCTTAATATATGCTTTTGATACCTGCGTAGACTTGATTTTTAACCTTTGTCTTTGCTTCAACCCACCCCACATTTCTTTATGAAGGTAAATTCTTTGTTGTCTCTTTCGAGTTATTTTTCCTTCAATTTGAAGGAATATAGTTAAGTTTTGGATAATATAAAGTGAAATTTCTCTGATAAGAAACTCCATTTATGAAAAACACGAGAGAAAGACGAAAAACTTTAAGCTAACATAAACCCCAAAAATTCCTATACAAATTTTTATAAATAACACAAAGTAAGCAAATACATTTCGTGATTGTTTTTAATAAAAATATTTTATCAAAATAGATAAAGTATGGATTTTCGTCTTATATTGCAATGCTGAATTTAAAGTATCTGAGAAGGAATCAAGACAAGTTATGAGTTTGAAGTCACGTAAGACCGTATGAGTTTGGGAACTTGTGAAATGAAAAAAAAAAAAACACATAATTAATCCATTTGTTTAAATAAGTTAAATTTAACTTATTTAAGAGTATAAAACTTGAATTTACTTTATTATATTTTTCTTTTTAATATTTTTATAACTTCTTAAAAAATTTTAACTAAAATCTTGGTGTTAGAAGATAAAATAAAAATAAGCGAGGTTCATCCAATAATTAATAAAACAAATTCAAATAATTTACTTTATTTAAATTTTTTAATATTGTTCAACAAAAGAATTTTTATATCATATGGATGGAAAGAAGTAGAGAGGCAATAAATTTATTTGTTTCCGTCCTCTCTCTATCATAATAATCTGCAAAATAATGGTAACCGTTGAATAGTCCATGATAAAAAGATTACTAAAAATTAGCAAAATGCACATTAGAAGTATTTTAATAAAAAAATTCCGATTTCAATATTTTTTTAGGTTTAAATATTTTTTTCTCTTTAACAAATTATTATATTTTCTTTTGTCCGAAAAAAAAGCATTAAATAGTGTTTAGGGACTAAAAAAATATTAGAGACTCAAAACAAAATTCAATAATGTATCAAACATAAAAAATTTATTTAATTTAAAAAAAAAAACAGAATTTGCATTTTTGAATCCTACTTAATTAGCAAGTGTTTGTTAATCGCTAGTCAAAACGTGTTTTGAGGGAGGGGGCAAAATACTTACATAGGTACTACTAACTCAGAAAATGTGGCAAGAAATTTGATATCATTGAATGGAAGATGGACAGGGATACGAAAGGGAGATGAAAATGAGATACACCCTTGTGAACGGCTTCTCTCTTAACCATCCAATGTCCGTATGTCAGTGGTGGACCAATTAAGATGAAGAAGAAGCATGATAACCCTTCATTCTGCATAAAAATGTTTCTTCAAGATACAAGATAAGATCCAATGCGAGAAGAAAAATACAATTTGTAACCTTTATTAGTTTTTATATGTATTGTATACTTATCTTTTTCTTTTTTGTGTTGCTGGGTTACCTATGTCCCACAAATGCAGCCCCACAATCCCACAACGTAATTTTTCCACACTTTGTCACACTATTAGACTAAGTCTTCCACAGTCATTCTCCAACTCAACTGGAATAATTAATATTGGAATTTTGTTTAAGTTGTATTGCTCATGTTTTGTCATCTTATGTTCCAATCGGTTAGTTTTTGAGAACGAAAAAACAGTTTTTCGAGGAATTGGATATTATCAATGGTGGTCTTCAAATCAAATAATACACCAATTATAGTTCAGTATATTCCAACTATATGAATATTAGAATAAGAAGAGAAGGATAAATAGTATATATGGAAAAAAAATTTATAATTTAATGTTTTAAAGTTTTATGTTGAAAATGATATAATTTTTTTATGTGAATTTAACTCATATCTTATTATGTTATTTTTTTAATGAATTTTTTTTTAAAGACCTAACAAAGTGTTGAGTTGTACTTGATGTAAAAACTATTAAAACTGTCTAATCATTACATCACTCAATTGAACTTTTAATATTTAATTTTTTAACAAAACTTCCACCTCATGATTTTGTCTGAGCTCCAAAGCTCATCAATGTATCCATTATCCGAGCTCCAATTTGTTGAGCATCCGAACTTTTTTCATCTGATATTCCAAACATATCTTCTTACATTTTTCAAGCAACATCACAAACAATGGTTTTGTAAAAACATCAATGTGCCATTCTGTTACATGTTCTTGGATAAAATGAAATCAAATGTCAATGTGTTTGCTTTATTCATGGTTAACTGCATTCTTAGTCAGTCAATGACCGACTTGTTATCAACTCGAATTACTATTACTCCAAGTTGTTTCTCCTCCAACGTGCTCAATAGATTCCTCAGTCACACTGTATGACACACACTCCATGAAGCTGCCACATATTCGACTTCACAAGTTGACAATGTGACTATTGGTTGTTTCTTTGAAAGTCAAGTGAATGTTGTATTTTTCATGAAGAATACATAGTCAAATGTACCCTTCTGATTATCTATATCTCCATACCAATCACTATTCCTCGAATTTATCTTAGTATCCACTTGAGTGCCTTCCAATAAGAATAGCTCGAATTCTCCATGGATCGTCTTACAACACCAATACTTAGTAAAAAGTTGGGTCTTGTGCTTGTCATGTATCGAAAACTCCCAACCAAACTTTGATATCTACTCAACTTCTTCCATCAAACTTAAAATTTTTTTTTTGTTGGTTCCATGAGGGTTGAGACTGAATTACAACTGATCATCTTGAACTTCTTGCATTTCTCCTTTGCATATATGCTTTTTGGGACACAAAAAAATCTCATCAAACCCAAACCAGTCATCTCAAACTCATTTGTCATTGTATCTTTAAACTCTTGGATAACTCCAAAATTGTTACCCATGAAAATAAGGTTATCCACATGCAGAGAGACGAACATCACATCACCTCCATTCTTCCTTATGTAAGACACAGTTCAAAATTGCTCTCCTTAAAATAAGTGTCAATTCGTTCATTTTAGGCTCGAGGAGCCTAGTTCAACCCATACAACACTTCTTCAGCTTCAATATTCATTTCTTCACCCTTTTTCACATAACCAGGTGGTTGTTCTACGTACACATCCTCCTTAAGTACTTCATTCATAAATGCAAACCTCACATCCATCTGCATGATCGACCATCTATATTGAGTTGTCAGGGAGATTAACAGTTGAACTATTTCCATCCTTGTTACGGGTGCAAAAACTTCATCGTAATATATCCCCTCTTTACTTATATCCTTTTGCAACAAGCTGAGTTTTGTAGCGTTCAACTTCACCCTGTGCATTGACCTTTTCTTTAAAGATCCACTTTACACCAATCGGACGTGTGTGGGTTGATAGCTCAGTCACCGCCCATGTATCATTTTTCTCTATAGCTCGAATTTCATCATCCATTACAACGTGCCATTTCTCATCATCTATTGCTTCTTCAAAACTAATATTTTCAGTATCCGCCAAAAGAAATATAACATACACTTCATCTATTGTGTTGTAGAGGTCTTGCAAACTTCTCAATCTCAACTATGGTTCCTCCTCGACTTTCGAGCTGTTTATAACTGACGATATAACAACTTGACTTCTAATGTTCTCATACGTAACAACTCGACTTCTAGTGGATAAGTATTCCTCTCTCCAATTCCACTCACTAGTCTCATCAACCTAAACATCCTGACTTATGACTACTTTTTACTAATCAGATCTATCAGTATATAGACTTTGGTGTTCTTACCATATCCAATGAACACATATTTTTTACTTTTGTCTTCAAGCTTCGTTCTCTGTTGGGAGGGCACAACTCCATAGTCAATGCTTCTAAAAATTCTAAGATGAGACATGTTAATTTTTGGTCATTCCATGCCTCCTAAGGTGTTACATTATTTAATTTTGCGTGTGGACATCTGTTCTGCACATATATTGCATATTGTACTGCTTCCGCCGAGAATTTTTTCGATATGTTTTTAGTTTTCAACATTGATCGGACCATGTTCATAACAATTCAGTTTTTTTTCTCTACTACCCTATTATGTTATGGCGAGTATGAAACTATTAAAAATTTTCTTGTGCCTTCATCGTCATAGTACTTTGTGAAGGTTGCATATGTAAATTTGCCTCCTTTATCAAATCTGATAGATCTCTCACTCATCTTCTCTACCATTGCCTTGAATCGTTTAAATACCTCGAACTTCTCTTTCAAAAAATATATTCATGTCTTACTCGAAAAATCATTAACAAACATCATAAAATACCTTTTTTCATTGAAAGAATCAGCGGTGATCGAACCACATAAGTCAAAATGAACAAGTTTGACCTGCTAGGTAGCTTGGTACTCAACACTCCTCGAAAGCGGGGTCCTCGGTAGCTTGCCAAGAATACAATCTTCACATAACTTTTTCTCGCCTTCTAAGCTTGACAATTCGAGCACCATGCACTTCTTAGATAGCTTAGCCAACCCACCAAAATTCAAATGACCGAATCGATGATGTCATTTTAACTTTATGTCCTCCACATTAAGCTTTAGACATTTCTCCCAAATTCTTGCAATTTGTACATCCTGTTTCTTCCCATCTCCACCTCGACAACTAGTCTTTCGAGCTTGTCTTTTAGCTATAATGCTTGGTCGTGAATGAATATCAAATATCCCTTCTTGATTTATTATCTCATGCTCAAAATATTACTCTTGAGGTTTGGGACAAAGTATACATCTCGTGTTGATCCAACCAACCTATCCTTATGTAAAAATCAAATATACCTTAGCCTTTCCTTGAGATTTTCAAGGCATCCCCAAATGACACAATTTCACCTTTACAATTGTATGAGAGAGTTTGCAATTTTGTTCTTGTAAAAATTGTAAGTTGAGAAATGAAAATCTATTGAGTGTGTTAGTGGATGTAGGGAAGAAGTGTCAAACCACGTTAACTTCTGAGTTTGTTTTTCTATCTTTATTTCTCTCGTGTGTGCTTCCGCAGGAGTAAATTTTCTTTTCCCTGTTGGTACCCAACAGTGGTATTAGAGTTGTTGGTGTGGTGGAGTTCTGTGAGATTCTTAATTCTTAATATGCTCTGTGGTTGCAGCATTGTCTGATTTTCTACATCAGAAAAGAATTGAGGGTTTGTCCTACAAAAAAGAGAAGCAGTGTGTCTTAGAAAAAGAGTATATTGCTACGAAGAAGAGAAACAGTATGTCTTAGAAGAATAGTACATTGTTAGTCTAATCACCACAACAACACTAGTCTAACGGTGTATTGAGGACTCGGGTTATTGTGTGCCAAAAGAGGGTTTGCAATTTTTCCGTGCAAAAATTGTATGAGAGGGTTTGCAATTTTATCCATGTAAAAATTGTTGTATGAGAGGATTTGCAAATTTTTCCTTGTAAAAATTGTAAGCTAAAAAATGAAGAGCTATTGAATGTGTTAGTGGATGTAGACAAGAAATGTCGAACCACATTAATTTTTGAGTTTGTTTTTCTATCTTTGTTTCTCTCGTGTGTGCTTCCGCAGGTGTAAATTTTCTTTTCCCCACTGGTACCCAAAATTTTTTTAGTGTAGTGATTATATTTGTCACCCTTAAAGCATTCAATATTTGAGTTACTTGTCGTTCGATCGCTACCAACTCTTTCTCGTCCTCGTCTTTGTCCTTACTGATTTTGTTGATCTTCCTTCTCCTCGCCACGACTTCTACTAACTCGGCCCCTTTGGTGTCAACTTCTTCCTCATTCTCGCCCTTAAGAATTTGAGAGTAAAGGAAGTGCTTGAAGAGTCGTTTCTTCTTTCTGTTTCTTCTTATATTCATAAGCTTCAAGTGATTCGGACAACTCTTACACAATTAACTTCGATAAATATTTTTTACTGTCCTATTGTACATACTACGTTGTCAATGTTAATTAATTATCTCAAAACCTTCTCCACGATACAATCTTTAGAGAATTCTTTTACATTTCTATTGAATTGGTTGCCACCACTTCAACCCATGCAACATATTCTGGCACTCCCTCCATCTCCTTCATTTTCATGCTTTCCATTTTAATGTGCAATATCTATAATCTCACTCTTCTGACTTTGTCATCATCTTTATAGGTTCTTTCCATTCCAGTGTCCCATGCTTCCTTCGAAGTTTTTGCATTTGGTATCTTCTTGAGCACAACTTATCAATAGCATGTATAGAGTTGTACTATCTTTCTCGCGTTTTTCTTTAATAACTTATTTGTCACTGCACACAACCTTTCTATCGTCTCTGGTTATTCAAATTCGTATTTTTTGAATTCTTGGCAAGCGTACCAAAATTATCAATCGCAATATAGTATTTTGATTAAATAAAATTCGATCCCACGAGAAACAGTTTCAATGGAAATTCTTAATTATATGCTTACTAAGTGGATTAAACAGAATGAGTTTTTCTTAAAGAGTCGAATTGAAAGTAAATGACAAAGAACTATAAATTGTTTAGAAAATATCAATTAAAGGCATTTAGGATTGACTTCCTTCCTTTTTCCTCTTTTGCAATGACTATGTTCAATTAAGATCATCAATTAACCTAACAATGTTGATGTCACCTGCTCAAATCATCCATGTTGATTTATCATACATGAAATTCATAAGAAAACCTAATAAATGTTGATTTCGCACACAATTAAGAGATTTTCCAGCATTATGGTTAGATTGTTAAGCAATTGATACATTCATTCCATTCCTGACAATTAACGTAACAAATACTCTTATAATGATCTAGGGTTCAAGAAATATTTTTCAATCATACCCCAAACATCAAGAATAAATCATTCCAAGGCACAAAAGATAAGAATAACAACATCAAAGCATAAATTAATATCTCAAAATATCACCAAGATATAAAAGAGTTCAAAGGAAGTGCACTCAATCCCAAGAGAATGAAGTTAACCACTCATGGTGGCTATTACAATGCTCCAAATGATGAAGAAGTGAAGAATTGATGAAAAATGGACGAAACCCTAGCAGTAGTCACGCCTTTTCTCTCCAAAACTCCACCATTTTCTCAAAACACATCTTATATTTTTATAGGAAAAATTAGGTCTCGCGTCTTTTGCGCAAACGATAATGTTCGCTCAAGTGAAAGTTTCCTATTTTCGCTTAAGCGACAAAGTGCTCGCTTGAGCGGGTTCCAGATAAGTTTAACTAATTTTCGCTCAAACGAAAATAATGACACTTGAACGAATGACTTCTAGATAGTTTTAACTAATTTTGGTTCGAATGAGAGTTTGTAATATTTAAACAAAAGTTTTTTATTTTTAACTCTTTAAAATACCAATTTGCGTTTGTGTTTGAATGAGGAGAGAGATAGTTGCATTGGTATTTAGAAAAAGTGGTAAGAAATTTGAAGACATTGAATAGGACATTGACAGGAGATGAAAGGGATTTGAAAATGAGATACACACTTTTGAACGCATCTCACTTTAGCCTCGTTGATTATTCACAACCTCTCCTTTCGATGACATTGGCCTGTCTTATCTCCAACAATTTAATTACAACATCCAATGTCCTTCCTTAAGAATACTCTGTTTTTCCTAGCACAGTATTTGGATTTTGATTTGCATGGTGATGCTGTTTATGAACCTCCAAGACCAAGAGAAAGTTCAGGCTGCAGTGCCTGAAGTCTTGAATCAGTTTAAGATCACAAAACAAACAAAGACTCAACAAGTCAAGTCTTATATATGCTTCTTTCTTCAACTAGCCTTATGGAGCATGAAACGGTTCCATTTTTTCCATGAAGTTTACAATTTACTGATTCAAGGAGATTTTGTCTTTTTAGAATTTTATAACACTCATTTTAAAATTCAATAATTTTTTCTAAGAAATTAATTTAAGTGGTATCAAATTATTTTTGAAAAATTACTTTTACCACCTAAAAGAAAAGAAAATCACACTTAAGTATATTGAATTTCTGACATGCAATTTAATTTCATTTTATATGGTTTGTTGAAGCTATGTGGAATTAGGTTAATACTAACTCCATAATGTATTGAGCTTGAATAAATCATTAATTTGATCTTTAAAATGTTTTTTTTTATCATACTTAATTCTAAAGCATAAAAAATTATTAAAATGTCTCTAAAGTTTTATTAATTAAATTATTTTAAAGGCTCTTAAAGCATTAAATTACTCGGTAGTCATTTTCGAAGTCATCTGCATCAATATGAACCCTTAGAAAAACAACATGCAACACACACCTTGATTTGGGCATCGAGTTCTTAATTCTAAATTCTTAAACTCTGTCACCACCTCTGCTCATAAAAGGAGGGGTTTTCTCATGTTTGATGCATTGAATGGTTCATTGTTTTCAAAAAATTCTACCACAATTACTATGAAGATTGAAATAATGGCCCCCCTTGTTTTCAAATCACTAATAATATATTTCTCACAGCTTCTGCTTCTTGTTTCAGCTGAGAATGGAGAGTGTCCGCGATCTTTCCAATGTGGATTTCTTGGCCAGATTCGGTTTCCTTTCACAACCACTCAGCAACAACACTGCGGCTTATTGCCTATACATGGCTGCGAAAATCATGATCCAATGGCTCCCAAAACCCTCCAACTAAACACCTCAACATCAACATCAACATCAACATCAACATCGTACCCTGTTCTGAAGGTAGAAGTACCTCATACCATATTTATCACGGATGTTGAACATGAAAAACATTTACTAAATAGAAGTTGCAATGCATTCAGCAAGAATTTTAGTCTTCCTCACCCCTCTCCTTCAGCTTCTTTCCGGCACAAATATAGTATCACTATTTTCAGATGCCCTCACTCCCTCAAACCCACCCTTCCCAAATATTTTCATAAATATTCAAACTGTTCTTCTGAGTACGATATCTACTATGGCCGCCCAGAAGCAGAAACTCCACTGGATTTAAAGGTGGAGAAATCTTTAGCACCATGTTCAACCATTCAGCTTGCAGTAGAAGGAGTCTCTGGTGACGACCCGTTTCAATTTCTAACTAGTAGTATCGATATTGAAGTAGAGTTATCAGATGAATGTGAAAGGTGTCTTGGAGATGGAAAGGGCCAGTGTTTACCTGACGGTAAAGGAAATTTCTATTGCCCCACAGGTATTCCGAATTACTTTCATATTTTGCACACTAATAGATGAAAGAAATTAATAGATACTAGAATTAGCCAAAGGTAGATGATAAGCTAACTTAAGTAAAATTAGAAAATAACCAGTTGATCTGTAATAATGTTTTTTTGACTTTCCAAGACAAGTTTTAACAATTGACTTTGTTTCAAATAATTCTAACATCTGCAGGAGGAAGTATAAGCTGGGTTGTGAAGATGATGTTGGGACTCGCATTAGGTAATGCCTATGGATTAATTTTGAGGCAAAAAGCTAAAAATAAAATAAAATGCAATTAACATTTAAAAACACGATATGATTATAATTTTTAAAAAACTAAACAAAATAGTTGAGTAAATTTTTTAATGCAAAGTTTTCAGTTTTTTTAATTTATAATTATAATAGTGAAAATAATTATTAGTTTTATTATTATAATATTTTTCAATTTTATTATTGTTATTTCTATAATTATTATGATTATTATTATTATTATTATTTGAATCAATAAATAATGAGACTTTAAAAGAAAAAAAAAATCATGCATTAAAATACGGCATCACTTTAAATGTACAACTTATTTTTTTATAATTTTTTTAAATATATCTATATCTGTCTTTTTGCCTAATTTTCATTTTCATTAGCCTATCTTCATATATATGTTCTATTTTAAAATGTAAATAACAAATGTCCTATTTAAGGAGTGTTTTCTAATATTATATCCAATATGTAAGAATTACTTTCTTTATCTGTTCCCGTTGCTTCAGTATGGAAGTGTATAATCCAGTGAGTTTTTCTTTTTCTTTGAACATCGTCATCTTACTTCTATCTCTTTTGTGCATCGGGAACAAAAAATTTCAATCCCTATCCTTCTCCAGATTCCTTCAACTAACTTCTCACGTGATAGGCCTAAGCCCTGCACTCCAAAGTCCAAAGTTGGGCATTATGATCCGAGCTCTTTATTGTTATTGATTACTAAAAACTGAAAATCATAAGCAACCTGGTCTTAAAGCAGCCAAAAATCAAAATAAGTTAAACCCTAAACCCTATCTACTAACTTTGGCTTTCTTTGTATCTTCAAACAATTTGCTTGCAGTGCAATCATTAATTAGTTTATATTTAATTTAAATTCTTTATCCCGAAGGATACTCAAAATCATTATGTTTCTCTGCACAGCATTTCTTTCTAATTCTTTTTAAACAATCTTTCTGATTCGAAGAACCTCTCCAGCTGTTTTATTGCTAGCTTTTTTGGTCAAGATCTGCTATCCAAGATGGAAGAATCAAAGTTCAATCAATCAACGGATTGAGGTCTTTCTGAAAAAACACGGAACCCTTCAGACTAAGAGGTATGGTTATTCTGAGATAAAGAAAGTGACCAACTGTCTCAGAAACAAATTAGGCCAAGAAGGATTCGGTTGTGTATACAAGGGAAAATTACAGGATGGACGTTACGTTGCAGTGAAGATCCTAAACGAATCAGAAGATGATGGTGAGGAATTCATCAATGAAGTCGCTAGTATTAGCAGAACTTCTCATATTAACATTGTTACTCTTTTGGGGTTCTGTTGCGAAGGTTCTAGACGAGCTTTGGTTTATGAGTTCATGCCAAATGGATCACTTGAAAAATTTATCTTTGAAGAAAATGCCCAAATGACAGATCATCGATTGGACTATCAATTGTTGTATCAAATTGTACTCTGTGTTGCTCGAGGACTAGAGTACCTGCATAAAGGCTGCAATATTAAAATTTTACACTTTGACATTAAACCTCATAACATTCTGTTGGATGAGAATTTCAATCCCAAGATTTCAGATTTTGGTCTAGCAAAAATTTGCACCAGAAAAGAGAGTATGGTTTCAATATATGGTGCTAGAGGAACAGCAGGCTACATAGCTCCAGAAGTTTTCTCCAGAAATTTTGGTGTAGTATCACATAAATCAGATGTTTACAGTTATGGAATGATGGTTTTAGAAATGATTGGAGGAAGAAAGAATACTATGACTGGCCTAGACCCCTCAAGCGAAATTTACTTTCCCGATTGGATATACAATCGTCTTGAATCAAACCAGGAACTTGGTTTACAACACATACGAAATACAAGTGATGAAAAAATGGTTAGAAAGATGACAATTGTGGGCTTATGGTGCATACAGACTCATCCTTCAAGTCGACCTGCCATAAGTAAAGTGTTAGAAATGCTAGAAAGCAAAGTTGAGTTACTGCAAATTCCACCTAAACCTTTCTTGTGTTCTCCTTCAACCTCTCCCATCCATTTCTCAAGTGAGACATCGTAATTTGTGACTTGTGAGCTAGGATACTACATAGGATGAAGTAAATAATGCAGTATTTCAAATTTATAACTACACTATTCTGATTCTGTGTTTAACTTTCTAAATACATCATCAACAGGTGGGGCGCGTGCGCGACGGATTTTGGCTTTCTTGGACTATTTTAATCATCTTTCACTTTTTTTAGTCATTTCAAAAAAAAATTTTCATTTCATTGTTGGAAATATTATTTTTTTATTTAAATTAGATTTCAAAATATTTTATTATTTTTTAAGAGAAAATAATAAAAAATTATTATATTATTATTTTGATTTATATAATTATAATTTAGATATTATTAATATTTAATATTTTATCATATTTTTATTATATATATATATATATATATATATATATATAAAAAGAAATACATGTATACAAAATCTTAAAATTTCGATCAGAAAAGTTATAACTTATAGATTGTGAGAATGCAATTTTATTTTAAATGATTGGAATGCTTGGATGCATGAGAAATCGTGGAAGATGATTACATTATTGATCCATTCTCTCGGATAAAAATCATACTCTAACTAACTCAAATCAAAATCCACATAAAAAAAAATGAGGAAGGCAAAAACGAAGTCATGTTTATATAAATTTTTTCTCAAATGATTCTCATTAGAATTATAACCCTAAAGTCATCCAAAATTTTTTTGAATTATTTGTAAAGAGATCTTGAAGGTTAAAGATGAGATTCTCATATAAAATGATGAAAAGCTTGAGAAACGTGATCGTGAAATTGAGAAGTTTAAAGTCGAGATGAAAAAATTAAAAAAATTTAAACCTATCATAAATTTGTTTGTGTTGAAAGTAAATAAAACAAACAAAGACAAGAAAAAAAATGTCTTCTTCCCATTATATTGTGGAGAAAATATCAATAAAAGATGAAGGAAGTAAATTTCAACATGTTAGGCTAAATGGAAGACTTTCAAGTGAGAAGTCTTGTGAGAAGAAATATCAAAAAAATTTATTTGCAAGTGACTGTAAAGGAACAATATTATTTAAAGCAACAAAATTGAATCACGTACAAGAAAGATAATAATTAAAAATATAAAAAATATATCAAATTTAAATAAAGAGATATTAAAACAAAAATAATATTAAAAATATTATTTTATTATAAATAGATATTATTATATTTAATATTTTATCATAATTTTTACTAGGAAGTACATGAATAATATATATATATATATATATATATATATATATATATATATATATATATATATATATACGATACGAGATATAATTCATATATTAAAAATATATATATACAAAATCCTATAAATTTTTATCATTTTAAAAAATAATTATAAATATAATTATATTTATAATTGTATAACTATTAATAATTAAATGTATATTTTAATTTATTATATTTAGATTAAAATATGAATATAAAAAATATTTATTTATTTATACAAATATATAATAATTATAAAATAATATTTAAATAAAGTTAAAGAAAATGTATTTGTAAAATGGTTGAAAATTTTGAAAAAAACAAAATTAATTAAAGAATTAAAAAAACATGAAAAAGCAAAAAATACGAAAAAAAGAATAATATAATAAAATAAATAGTCCAACATATTGAAAATGACAAAAATATATTGAAGAACACATAAGAATAAAAAATAAGTAAAAAAATATAAAATATAAAAAGAAATAATTTTCATATAATATGAAAAAAAATATTTAAAATTTAAATTTAACTATAAAATGAATGTTCGAGACACACCCATATTTAGTTAATTCAATTTTTGAATAATCCTAGTGATACAAATTTAATTATGGTCCCTAATTATTTACCGGATGTTATATATTAATTGTTGACTAAATGGCCTTTTAAAGTTGTTTGATCTTACGCTCAATGTAATATAACAATAGTATTGGTGGATGCTACTCAGTCAGAAACGGCTGCATATAAAAGTAGACAGAAAATAACAAAAACATCTGACGTATGAATGAAGGGGTCAAGCAAAAATTACTGAGGACTCATGTCTTCATCAGAAGGTTACGTGGAGCAAGTCTAGCCTCAAGGCATTTTCTACCATTCATTTCTTTGTTTTGTGTTGTATTTGAACCACATCTCTAAATAGTTTTTCTTTCTTAGTTTGAGTCACGTACATTTTAATCCATTTCAGAGATATCTCACGAACCTAAGTTGGTGTTAAATTAAATGTGTGAAGCATATGTCTCCACCACATGCTGCACATTGTGGATCTTTTCAAATCTCATTCTCCTTATTTCCTTCGTGGATTCACACCTCTAAACTAGAAATAGGATGTTTCTCTCTTTTGGAATCATTAGTAAAATTGGTACACCTTGTGAAGAATCACTTTGGAAAATTCTCTATTTCTTCTTCATCATTAGATCAAGTTGAAACTCATTCATTGTGGATCCATCACTTTATTTGTTCCGTATTAATCACATCACTTTCTTCCATAATTTTCACAACATACTTCATCATATATCATCATTTTAAACTAGATGCAAACTTTCACACTAATATAATCTTTAGATTAAATTCGTATTCGGTTATCTTTGAGTTGCATTTTCATCTTATCCAAAACTTTAAAAAGAGTCATTTCATCAAACACTTACCGTCCAAATCTAAAAATTGACTCATATCATTTCCTTTGCTGGTCTCTTGCTAACATTTCCATGTGGCCTCCGCCTCCGCTTTTGTTTTTCACGAATTTTCTTTGAGAGGCTATTACAATAGTACTTAGGTTAGATCCCAATTAAGAGAATACTGGAGCACTCTAGAGAACCAACCGACCCAAGAATGGCTGCATTTCATGTGTCTGGCATCGTTTTGTTTGCATGGTTTGTGAAAGCAGTATTGAGTGGTAACTGTCCATCCTTCATTAACTGCGGCGATCTCGGTAACATCACTTTTCCTTTCACCGACACGCGTCACCGAGACTGTGGCATATTGGTGATACATGGCTGTGATGACCACGAACCAGGGGCCCAAAAAACCACAAAAAACAACAACAAATGGTTTGATATCGTGAAGCTGGACAAGTTTACGATTACCATCAGAGACGATGACCTTCGCGACTACTTGTTACAACGAAGTTGTGAGACCTTCGGCTACAACAGTACTTTCACTTTCAACTCGCCTTTGGCTACGGCTTCTCGTTTAAATCATTACATGGACGTACTCAGATGCAACCACGCCCTCGGTGCTCCGCCAAACAATTCTGTTTCTAACTCTAATGTTTGCAAAAATGAAACACTGTATTTAATGGTGGAACCCGAGCCTTCTTCCAGGTACAGTAATCTCAGATGATGTTCAATGGTTCAGCTTCCAACGAGCTTGCAGATGGTGGAAATGGATGTTGATCCGAATGATCCTTTCAAGTACGTAACTGCGGAAATCGCCTTCGAAATAGAATTGTCTCAGAATTGTTCAAGGTGTCTATACGCTCGCGGAGGCCAATGTCGACTTCACAACACCGGAATGTTTTACTGTGACCTAGGTACGCCAATACAAACACGTTTTTTTCACCCTTTCAAATTAAAATTACTGTTTTATTAACTGTTATAAATTTAAAAGAAAATTAATATCGCAAAAATTTAATAAATTTTCAAATAAATATTTTAATGAAAACAGACTGTTTTAATTTTTTAATACTTATATCCTTTGGTCATTTTACAAATTTACTAAATATTTATAAATTAGTTAATTTTTAAAATTTTTAACGAACTTTATAGTACTAAATATAACCATATTTGAAAAAAAAAAAAAACTTCTATGCAATAATAGCAATGTCAAATTAAAGGAAAAAAAGAAAAAGAAAAAGGAAAACAACTACAATTTATCAAAATTAATTTGTTTGTTTATAGTAGTTGATCATTTATTCGTTAAATGTACAAATCAAAACTTATTTTGGACATAACTTGATTTATAATATATGCCTAGTTAATAATTATTAATAATAATTTAATAATAATAAGTAAAAAAAAGTTGCCAACCGACTTATTTAAATATCTTATATATCAATGTATATTTTCTTTTACTTTTCTTCATCCGTCATTTGTTATACATATTCAGTTGAATGTTACGTGCTAAGAAGTATTTTCAATGTTTTTTTGTCAACTTTTTCAGGGAATAAATCAACAAAAACTCGTCTTATAGTGACAGCAGGTATGTGATAAATCCCATCTATACTTATCTAGTAATATTATATATAAGGTTTATATTTCCATCATATACCGAAAAATTCGTCCAATCAATGATACTCGCCATATTATAATTAAGTTTAATCTTTGATTATAATAAGACCCCACAAAATATATACAAGATTCAAATAACATTTTTTTTTTTTCAATTTAGTATTCACAGGTCGTTAGAAAAAAATTCATATTACATTACACTTTAAAAACAATGAGGAGACTGGAAGTAGGCTATAAGTGAAAAAGAGTGAGAATATTAACAATAATCAAATTAAAAACATGTGGTATGAAATAATATGTATATATTAACTCTTAATTTTTATACGTAATGGTGTAGTTGCATCTGTGGGAGGAGCATTAGGAGTTCTGATAATTTTGGGTTGGTGCATTAGAAGACGCTTTTACAAGAAGAAAAACCCCACCCACCAAATCATTGAGATGTTCCTGAACACCCACGGTCATCTTGCAGCCAAAAGATACAGTTTTTCAGAGATAAAGAAGGCCACCAATTCCTTCAGAAACAAATTGGGTCAAGGAGGGTATGGTAGCGTGTACAAGGGCAAGTTAAACGATGGAAGCCTTGTGGCAGTGAAAGTTTTAAGCGACTCCAAAGGTAACGGTGAGGAATTCATCAATGAAGTTGCTAGCATCAGTGTCACTTCTCATGTTAACGTTGTTAGTTTACTAGGATTCTGTCAGGAAGGTTCTAAAAGAGCTTTGATATATAAGTACATGCCTAATGGATCACTTGAGAAGTTCATATATGAAGACAAGAATCCACATAAGCTTAATCTTCAATTAAGCTGCAAAACCATCTACAATGTTGCACTTGGCATCGCTCGAGGATTAGAGTATTTACATAGAGGATGCAATACTAAAATCTTGCACTTTGATATAAAACCTCACAATATATTGCTTGATGAGGATTTCTGTCCCAAGATTTCAGATTTTGGACTAGCTAAAATATGTCAGAAAAAAGAGAGTATTGTGTCCTTATTGGGAACTAGGGGAACTGCAGGATACATTGCTCCTGAGGTATTCTGTAGAAATTTTGGAGAAGTCCCTCATAAATCTGATGTATACAGCTATGGAATGGTGGTTCTAGAAATGGCGGGGGGAAAGATGAATAACAATGTTGAAGTGGAATGTTCAAGCGAAATATATTTTCCACACTGGGTTTACAAGCGTCTTGAGCATAATCAAGAGCCTAGATTGAGAAGCATAAAAAATGAAAGTGATAAAGAAATGATACGAAAGTTGATTATTGTGAGCTTATGGTGCATTCAGACAGACCCGTCAAACAGACCAGCAATGAGTAAAGTGGTAGATATGATGGAAGGAAGCTTGGAGCTCTTGCAAATACCACCAAAACCTTATCTCTCTTCACCTCCCAGATCTCCTCCTAGGTCCTCTGATCAAAGCACCTACACTTCTTCGACCATGTATCTTTCTGAGTACTAATTATTACTAGGTTTAGATTTACAAGCCTTTCAATTAATTAACTGGTTATTGTCTAGGACAAAACTTGTTTACATGTTCTGTTTTTTATTAATATGTAGTGTATTTGATAAGATGTAAATTATTAGAATAAAATTTTAAATTTGATTGGAGAACAATTTCAGAACTATATGTAAGGTTTTTCAGTTTGTCTGATGAATATATGGATTGCCATTGATTTGTTAGCTGTATCCGAATAGATGATGAATAAATGTCACCACCACTAACCAATAAATAGGTTAGTCCAGCCCTTTTCATCTTTTCCCAAGTAGACTGAAGCCAAAAATTCAGAAGCTAAAAATGGCTACGGCTCCTACGGGTGAGGACCAATTTATTTATTTATTTATTTATATATATATATATATATATATATATATATATATATATATAATAACCTTACTTTGAAATTCTTTAATATTCTTCCTAATTATAAATCCGTATATTAAAAATTTGTAATTATATCTTATTAACTTAATTATTCCAGAACTGAAATTTAAAAAAATAGATCAACTTGTTGGTAACCATTTAACATTTAAAATTTTAAAAGTAAAAATAATTAAAATTCAATAAAAAGGTAAAAAAAAAAATTAAAGCTTGATCATAATATTAAAATATGATAATTTGAATATTTGAGTAAATATTTTAGAGAAATAAATAGTTAAGTAAATATTTATTTGAGTATTATATTTTGACCGGCTATTATTTCATTAACTTATATTGTTTTTATTATAGAAAAACGTCCACTTCCCTTTCTGAAAAAACAGAGAAACAAGTGGAAAAGTGAGGTAAAATAATAAATATAGTAAGTAATATTAATTAAGTGATAAAAAAAGTGTAAAATGTATAAAATCATATTGGGATTTTTTTTTAAATAAATTTTAATTTCCATAACGATTTAATTGAATTTTACAAAGTTTAAAAATTCCAAACAATAATTCATATCACAACTTAGTAATTCGTCTGATCCCAACATATAAACCGTTATTCTTAAGCGATAGTATACTATGTGACTACTTTGAAAGTGACAGTGTCGTCTAGAATTGAAGCATTAAAAACTTGAGTGTATGTTACAAACCTTTTCTTTCTTCACCATTTTTCATGTGTGGCTATTTCCATGATTCATCCCTTTCCCCTCTGCCCTTTTTCAGGTCTGTGAATTGACTGGAAGCCTCTATTTCTTGTTCACAAAAAGTACATCCTTCATTTTATTTATCTTAGTTTCTCAGTTCTTGACATTCCTAGTCCTAGTGGTGTCCCTTCTCTTCTTGGATTCACTACTTTTATTCTTCTCCCACCTTCTGCTTCTGGTTTCAGCTCAGAATGCAAACTGTCCACCATCTTTCAACTGTGGATCTCTTGGCCTCATTCAGTTTCTTTTCACAACCGCACTGCGGCGTGTTGGCCTTACGTGGCTGTCAAGAACACGACCCATCTGCCCCTAACACCGTCCAACTAACCACCACAACATCAACATGGTACACTGTTCACTGGGTTGAACCTCGTACCATAATAATCCAAGGTGATGAACAAGATCGTCATTTGCGATTAAAAAATTGCACAGCCTTCACCCACGGCTTAACTCTTCCTCACACCTCTCCTTTGGCTTCTTTCATCATCAAATATATAATCACTATCTTCATTTGCAATCTCTCCCTCAAACACACCCTTCCCCAAGAATTTTACTAGTATTCAAACTGTGATGAGTACAGAATCTACTTCGGCCACACTGATACTGAACTGCCTCTGGGCTTCAAGTGGCCCACCTCTTTAACACCATGTTCCACGATTCAGCTGGCAATACAAGGATAGCGTACAACCCATCCCTTTCAATTTTTATCAGGTACTAACGTTATTGAAGTACTGTTATCTGATGATTGTGAAAGGTGTATTCGAGATGGAAAAGGATGTTTACTTGACAGCAAAGGAAAATTCTATTGCGCCAAAGGTATTGCATTTTGCACACATACATTTTGAACGAAAGAGTAATTTAATGATTGGTTTCAATTGAAGTATTTCTAACTAAAGTAGTTGCTGATTGTTTTGTATCTGCAGGGGGTAGAAGTTGGGTGGTGAAAAATCTGAATATGATACTAGCAGTCGGACCAGGTAATGCATATAGATTCATTTTCATTTTCACTAATATGTCTTCATATAATAATAATAAATTAATTACCATCTCTATTATATTTTTTAAGGTTTGATCGGCTAAGAAGTGTCCCACTTAAGGAGCATTTAACAGAATACTGTGCTCTCCTAGTTGATTTTAATATAGAGCATTCTTTGACAATGCTTCATTATTTAAGTGTGTATCCAATGAGTTTATTTAACAGGATCACATGTTTTTATGTCTTCTCTGTATCCCTGCACTCCAAAGTTCAAAGTCTTCAAGTCAGCGAAACAGTTTTAAAATTATGCATTAGTGAACTCCAGCATTATTCTAGTTCTTTATTGTTCTTGGTTACTAAAACTAAAAGGTGCAAACCATAAGCAACTGCACTTAAAGAAGCCAAGTTAAGCTAGATAAAAATTACCAGCCCATTTGCCATGGATTTAATTTATCTTATCATAATAGATCTCACTTTCATACATTAGTTATTACTCGTTATCTTTATATTCTCTAGCTAGAAGATGTCCAATACTCTCATTCTGTTTCTCTGTACAGCATTATTTTCTCATCCTCCCTAATTATTACTAGTTATTACCATTGTTTTGTTTGTTCAAAAATTTAAGTGTGTGTTAAGTATTACGATAAATAAAAATGAAAAAGTTAAATAATATATAAGAAAAAAAGACTTATAATTTAATCTCTTAAGATTTTTTTATTAAAAATAATGTTAATCTTTTATATAAATTGGACTCATGTTTCATTGTTATTATCTTTCTTCCTAAAAGATTCAACAGTAATATTAAAAACTTATAAACTTATAGTTAATTCATATCTCATTAATATACTTATTCAAAGATAAAAAAAAAATGACAAACTCTTTTATAAATAAATTAGGCCAAGGGAGAGGGGGTTCAGGAGCATATTCAAAGGAAAAATTTTGAAATTTTTTAACATGTGTAACTATTAAAATTAATAATATAAAATGTAAGATAATAGCTAAAAATTCTAGAAAAATATAAAATGATTGAATTTTGAAAATTTTCCTCTAATTTAAGTAAGATGTAAAAGTATCTTACCTTTATAAATGTAATATATTATTAATAAATAATAAATAAATAAAGGTCAAATTTATAAATATATAAATAAATATATTTAATAATTATTAAATTTAAGAAATCAAACCATATTTATTAACATAAATTATAAAACTTAAAAAATAATTATTAAATTTAAAAGAAACAAAATTATAAGTATTAATATAAATTATAAAATTTTAGAGGGGTGGTTCCCTTCCCCTCCCAACCGAGGGAGAATTCATCAATGAAGTTGCGAGCAAAACTTCTCATATCAACATTGTTACTCTTTTGGAGTTCTGTTATGAAGGTTCTAAAGGAGCTTTGGTTTATGAGTTTATGTCTAAGGGATTTGAAGAAAATGCCCAATTGACAGGTAAATCAATTGGACTGTCAAACGCTGTACCATATTGCAATTGGTGTTGCTCAAGGACTAGAATACCTGCATAGAGGTTGTAATACAAGAATTTTACTCTTTGACATAATAAACCTCGTAACATTCTCTTGGATGAGAATTTGAACCCTAAGATTGAAAAGAAAGTATGGTTTCAATATTTGGTGCTAGAGGAACAGCAGGCTACATTGCTCCAGAAGTTTTTTCTAGAAATTTTGGTGTAGTATCACATAAGTCGGATGTTTACAGTTATGGAATGATGATCTTGGAAATGATTGGAGGAAGAAAGAATTTTAAAGATGAAGTAGATCCATCAAGTGAAAACATACTTTCCTGATTGAATCAAACCAGGAACTTGGTTTACAAATTATAAGAAATGAAGGCGATGACAAATTGATGAGAAAGATGACAATAAAGCACATCCTTCAACTCGACCTACCATGTAAGTAAAGTGGTGGAAATGCTAGAAAGCAAATATACCTTTTTTGTCTTCTCCTCCAACCTCTCCGGTTTATTTATCATCTGAGAATACTATATATGCTACACTATTTTAAATTTATAACTACATTATTCTTTATGGAATTTTATAATTATTAGAAAATATAATTTATGAAAATGGTTCATTATTTTATCGCATTTACGTTTTTAATCCTTAAAAGTTTGATTGTTTAGTCGGTCAAACTTTGCGTTTGTGTTATTTTAGTTTTCTCCATATTAACTTAGATAATTAAACTTAATAGTTAATTATTTATTATTTTCAAATAATTTCTTATATCATTATTTTATACTTTCAATTTAGTGAACCATGTTTTTTTTCTAAAAAAATTATAATTTGACTAGTTGTTAAGTAAAGCAATTAGTGTAAGATTATAGACATGATATAATGGATTGGACATATTACTCAAAAAAGTAAAATAAACAAATTTTTCCTCTGCAGTCCAAGATCTATCTCTGTCATCTTGAAGCTTTATAGTATTTCAACTCCGTTTTTCGCCCTCTACTGTTCATTTCTCGATGCAAAGCTCTGCAATATAATTTTTCTTAAATTTCGTTTCAACTAAATGACCGTGGAGAGGAAAAAGAAAATACGAAGAAGATCTTGTGGAGAAAAGGACAGAGATGAAGAAAGCGCTATGGATTGGAGAAAGAGAAGTATTTAATGCATCGTTCAAATGGGACAACACGTGCAAATAGGTCCAAAAACAAAATGAACTCGATCACACCATCTATGATATTATAATTCAACTCACAATATTTTAGTTATACGTTATGATCCTTCACTTTTACACGAATTTGATTATTATAATTTAAAGTGTAAATCTATTTGTTTCCTACCTTATCATATGTAATTAATATTTAATCAACAACACTAAGGTGACATTTTACTTACAATGTCACACCCCACACACACACACACACACACACATATATATATATATATATATATATATATATATATTGTGATAAACAAACAAGACTCAAGACTTGTATAATTATGTATAGAAAGACAAAATTTTCTAAATGAAAAAAACGAAACTCTAACTATGATTAACCTAAAAAACGTTTTTTTTAGTTTTCACCGTATCATAATCTGTAATGACATTTTTTATCTGTAATGCTCTTTTTAAAAACAATAAAATTTATTCTAGTGATATAAAAATATTTTAAAATATCACATACCAACAACATATCAACGTTTAACAGGTACTTAACATTACATCGAACATAACCAGTATTATATATATTAATAAAAAATAAAAAAACAGTAATTTTAACTTTTGAAACGAAAGATTTTTTTTTCTACAAAAATTAGAATCAAATCTAACTTTACATAAATTATTAAAAAGTAATTTTTTAAGTCATTTTAATAAAAATAAATACTCCTCAATTATTATTACTAACTGTCATACTGTGAAAACTGAATATAAACTAAAATGATAAATTATTAAAGTGTGGATGGAAGGATTAGAAAATAATAACACAACCCATTATTGTTGACCATCAAAATCAGAGTCGAGAAAGACTAAGCATTTTACAGAAGGGGAAGGATAGAGTGGTCTTTTCAGTTGAGCGTAACAGCAAAAAGTTGCGTATTAGTATAGTCTTTTGAGGCACAGCAATGTGTCAGTACACCCAAACCACCAATTCCAACCATTGCATTAACACCACACCACTCGTTTCAATTAATCTCTCCATTCATAACAATAACTCCACCCAAATTATTACTCCCATTCCATTACCGTTAAGCCCTTTCATTTTCACATTAATTCCGAATTTAATAAACCCTACACAAGCAAAACACAAACACGCTCCGCTCGCTGCTTTCTCTTCCTATCTCTCTCGTTCGCCCAGAGAAACAATGGCACCAACACTCTCTCACCTCATTGCTTCTGTTCTGCTTTTTCATTTTGTTCTTCTCACGGTTAAGGGTTCCAATAACCCAGATTTTGACGCTCTCGTTGCCTTCAAAACCGCTTCAGACACTTCCCGAAGACTCACAACATGGAACACTAGCAGTACCAGCCCCTGTTCCTGGAGTGGTGTGTCATGCATTCGCGACCGAGTCTCGCGACTCGTTCTCGAAAACCTCGACCTTCAAGGCTCCATTCACCCCTTGACTTCTCTAACTCAGCTCCGAGTTCTCAGTCTCAAAGGAAACCGTTTCTCCGGTCCCGTTCCCAACCTCTCCAACCTTACCGCTCTCAAACTCCTCTTCTTGTCACGCAACTCCTTCTCCGGCGAGTTTCCGGCGACTTTCACGTCGCTCTTTCGCCTCTACCGTCTTGATCTGTCCAACAACAACTTCTCCGGCGAGATTCCGGATACGGTCTCCCACTTGACCCACCTACTAACTCTCCGCCTCGACGGGAACAAGTTCTCCGGTGACATTCCCGACGTCAACCTCCCCAACCTCCAAGAATTCAACGTCTCCGGTAACCGCCTCTCCGGCGAGATACCTAAAGCATTATCAAGCTTTCCCGAATCATCGTTCGGGCAAAACCCGTTTCTCTGCGGTGTCCCAGTTAAAAAATGCGCATCCGACCCGGGCAAACCTGGATCCGAGGGCGCCATTGCTTCACCGTTGTTACCACATAACAATAACAACCCTACAACTACCGTATCATCGTCACCTAGTTCAATGCCAAAAACGTCAACACCAACGTCAAGCAGTAAGAGCCACGAGAAGAGTGCTTCTAAAATAAGCCCGGTGGCGCTTATAGCTATTATAGTAGGTGATGTTTTGGTTCTTGCAATAGTTTCATTGCTTTTGTATTGTTACTTCTGGAGAAACTACAAGTTAAAGGAGGGGAAAGGGTCAAAGCTTTTCGAGAGTGAGAAGATTGTGTATTCGTCGAGTCCGTACCCTGCTCAGGGAGGGTACGAGAGGGGTCGAATGGTGTTCTTTGAGGGTGAGAAAAGGTTTGAACTTGAGGACTTGCTGCGAGCCTCTGCTGAAATGCTTGGAAAGGGAGGGTTTGGGACCGCGTACAAAGCTGTGCTAGATGATGGGAACGTGGTTGCGGTAAAAAGACTGAAGGACGCGCAGATTACAGGGAAGAGGGAGTTCGAGCAACACATGGAGGTGTTGGGAAGGTTAAGGCATCCCAATGTTGTTAGTTTGAGAGCTTACTATTTTGCGCGCGAGGAGAAGTTGCTGGTCTATGATTACATGCCCAATGCCACCTTGTTCTGGCTCCTTCACGGTACTCTAACCTGCCTACGACATTTCATTTCATTTCATTATATTGCATTGAACCTTCACGACTGTTTCTGTTTGTTTGTCATAGGCCACATGGATGAAATAAAACAAAGTTTTCATTTTCTTTTGTTCTTTAGTTGCCCTCAGTTCAATGGTGGATTATCTGCTTTGAAATTAATTTTCTTCGCACTAGGACCATACCCACGGCGTATGGTTACCCTCCCATGTAGGTTAGATGTAGTTGGTTGGGGTGTCCATTTACGAGGCTCCTTCAAATTTTAACGACGAATCATGTGCATTGGATGGGATCTCTTTATTACGATTCCTTCTCCCTCCTTACAACGCTATAGTGATATTTTAATACATTGTTTCCAGCAATTGCAGACAAAGGAACTGTTAACTGAACAGTTGCTGCACAAATCACAATCATAAGCCCCTGGGAATCGGGACAATGTATTGTGCCATGCAGACTGATTTTCCATTGTCTTGGACTGCTTTTCGTTAATAAATAAAATAAAGAATACGAGAAGTATATTGCTTTATGTTCTTTTCCTGCAACATTTGGCCTTTTGCTTTATCTTTTGCCAGTTGAATGTCCAAAAAGGGCATACTAGGGCTTGTCATTAGTAAATTGAAAGTTATAAATATTAGTGGCAAATGTGTAATTGAATGGAACCTGAAGGTCGAATTGTGGTTGCGACAGGGAACCGAGGACCCGGACGAACCCCACTGGACTGGACCACGAGGCTGAAGATAGCAGCGGGAGCGGCGCGAGGCGTGGCTTTCATTCATAACTCCTGCAAGTCCCTTAGACTTACCCACGGTAATATCAAATCCACCAACGTCTTACTCGACAAGCAGGGCAACGCGCACGTGTCTGATTTTGGGCTCTCGGTTTTCGCTGGCCCAGGCCCAGTTGGTGGGAGATCCAACGGCTACCGTGCGCCGGAGGCATCGGATGGTAGAAAACAGACTCAGAAGTCTGACGTGTACTCTTTCGGTGTGCTCCTGCTGGAGATGCTGACAGGGAAGTGCCCCTCCGTGGTTGAGAGTGCAGGCAGTGCTTACGGTGGGGGGGTGGACCTACCAAGGTGGGTCCAGTCAGTGGTGAGGGAGGAATGGACGGCTGAGGTGTTTGATTTGGAGTTGATGAAGTATAAGGATATTGAGGAGGAGATGGTAGGGCTGCTTCAGATTGCAATGGCGTGTACCGCGGCTGCACCTGATCAACGGCCCAGGATGAGCCACGTCGTCAAGATGATTGAGGAGTTGCGTGGGGTCGAGGTGTCTCCGTGTCATGACACGACGGACTCCGTTTCTGAGTCACCTTCCATCTCTGAAGATGCGTGTGGAGCGAGTCAGTGAAACAAGGGAGTAGGTGCTACCTAGGTTGTGTGGATAGCGGTAGTATTGGCGGTTTTGTTTTTCTAATTAATTATTTTTAATCTCGTATTTGTTTGATGTACTAGTCCTTTGCCCACTTTCCTGAATGCCAAGATTAATTTTAGTTCAAGGTTTTCCGCTAATTAAAGCTGTGTTAAATGAATGTGTTTGTACGAGTTATTAAATAGAAATAGGGCTCTAAATTGCGAAAATGGGTTTCAAAAGAATGGCATGCTTAGTTTGATTAGCGAAATATGAACTGATTGTCGGCATCGTTGTCCTTTTTGACCGTCTAGGCATATGGAGGAGGAAATAAAATGTTTTGTTCTTTCTCGTGATCTTTTGTATTCGTACATCTTTACATCTTGGTATTCTTTGACTTTTTCGTTACAGCGTTAGAAGATCCAATGGAAAAAACTCGCACTATTTTGATTAAATCTACACCGCATAGTTAAAACTTACAAGATAAAAAAGAATCAATGAATAATTTGGTCACAGTGGTAACTCGTGTTTTTGTACCTATGGACTAGAAATGCATTACCATGGGTGCAATCTTCGTCAGCTTTGACACAGTACTAGGGGCAAACTTCCTAGCAAACAGAAAACACACATTCATGCTATCTCCGTTATACTTGCATTTCTGATTCCTTAAACTCTCCAAGAACTGAACAGTAATCTCCGACCTCAGAAATTTAGCTGGGTGTGGACCACCCTTTGACCAGTCAACCCAAGTCAAACTCCTATTTGAATTACCCTCCCAAAACTTAATGCTCACATACGTTGGCAAGTAATGTTCATCGGCGTAACATGAACCTTTGCAGTACTCTTGAAAAACTGGGAAGTATTTTCTGTCAGATACTACTTCTAGTGCAAGCTCTCTGTCCATTTCAAACCATTGGGACCCTTTTCTCCATTGGTTTAGGGAGATCTCAGGCAACATCTGGATGCTATATCGGCCTCGGCCAACAGAACTCGGATCATCAAAAGCCATGACATAATTTTGGGTAGAGTTCATCAAGTAGGTGTAGATGGTTGAGAAGTTGAAGAGTGGTATGCATGACTCTGATAACAGTACAAAGCGTTGGTTTGAGATATCAAGAAGTGCATTCGCCAGCAAGCGACGTTCAGCTTCAATCATGTTCACATTGCCCCATTCAACTTCCTGCATCATGTCAATAGCAGATAATGAGATGAAGAGTATTGACCAATGTTTCTTTCCAAATTCAAGCAAATTGCTGGTGTTAGAACTAGACATCCTTAAAGAACTCCATGACATAATTCGAAACAGATAGGCATAAATGGAAATGAAATTAAAACCAGTAGTACAATATTTATGTGTGGACAATTTTCTTGAGGCCTAAGATTCGTTTATTTTTTCATATATTTTTTTTACAAGACATTAAGGCAATAAAGGATCCACACAAATGGTGAGTACTTTCTGATAACATAAATAAATCAATTCATATAAGAATTGACGCGATGTACAATTTACACAAAAAGGTAGTAAACATCATTGTCCTTTTATCAATTGGGGTTAGCTAATTAAGAAATGGTTCCGTAAACTAGTAGCAGCTAGTTGTTGCCAGTTAACGGGGGAAGGGGCATGAGCTATTATTTTAAATGCTAATTACTATATGGGATCGTTTGTAATGATCATTTTATTTTTAATAGAATGTCCAATATGATGTCTACATTAGTGATCCTAAACAACAAAATAAAATATATATGCTAAAGAACGCTCAGGCATAGATCATGTTTTACTTTTCCTAAGTTCTAAAAAATAATTTGGACAACGTCTAGAGCGAAAATGAGTTTTGGCATCACACCGGTCCTGGTAATTGGTGAATATGGTTATAATTGCCAGCGTACTGATAGAAACTCACAAGGATACAATTCTTACTTTTTTGGCTTTAGAAACCTAAACTAGATCAACTTTATAATAAAAATTGGCGGATTCGATTCACTGTAAATTATCATTGTAGCTGAGCCTAACCGAGCAATACGAAGCAAATCGTTTTTCTTCTGTTCTATTTTCTTAGCCACATTTCCCTCTTTATTGGTTTTTCTTTGTTTGTTCTTTCTATTAAGCAATCTGCATGGCTACAAGTATAAGAATATAACAAGATATCTGTAATGGAGCATACAAAATAAGTCACAGGGTCTGTACTTTTCTTTTGCAACAAAAAAATGCATAACCTATAATTCATTTCAATTATGAAAGCTACAGGATCATTGACTAGTATAGAAACCATGATATGATCAGATCAGTTACGGAAGATACCAGCTGTCATTGACGTAGTCAATGATCCAACACAAGCAATAGTCATCTCCATAATTGACAATAAACCAATACTAAACGTAACAAGTGAAGAAGAAACCAACTGACCTTACTGGGAATTCTCCGACCTTCAAACACAGGACTCTCCGGGCGTGATCCATTGTATGATGGATTGGAGTGCACATAAATTGAGTACAACCCTTCATGCCCTTTGAAGAATTGCTCCCACAAAGGTGCCAAAAACACAGGACCCCTTGTCAAGAACATGAAGGCAACCTTTGGAACACGATCAAACGGGTAATCAGGGATCTTTGCTGTCATCGAAGCTCTCCATAGCAATTCCTCATCATCCATATCATGCACAACATGAGGAGGCTTAAGGAAATCCCTCAATCCTACGTGGCTACTTTCAGTTTGAGTTTGAGTTTGAGTTTGAGTTTGAATTTCTGTCTGAGTTTGAACTTGGGACTGAATTTGAGTTTGATTAGATATTTCTGGTTTTGTAGTTGGTGTCGGCAAGGGTGGTGCTCGCGGAAAGGAAGAGAGTGACAACTGCGTGAATTGTAAACTAAAGTTGCAGTCTTTAAGATAAAAACTAAGGATAACCCCAATGGTTATACCAAAGCCCAGAATTAGGATATAGGAAAGAAACTGAATAAAGTGAAATTGAACATTAAAAAACTTGGAAACAGAGTTTAAGGGGTATTGATTATTTTGGCCCTTCATTCTATGGGGACAAAACCAAATTCCCAACAACTCTGTTATATTGGTATATATGATTGGTACCAAAGTTAAAAGCTTGTAAAGGAAAAACAATCAGAAATACGTGATTTGATGAAACACCCAACTGTATCAGCAACAAATTAATCTTCTAAATAAAATATCTCAACAGCCATAAGACCAATACCAAAAAGATCAAATGAAAGTGTTTCTATATAATAAGGTTCACCTAGTTTGAAACCTTAAATATGATGGTAAACTTAGAGAAAGAAAGAAAGGGTGATGGAGAAAGAAGAGAAAGCTCTGAAAGTCCAGACCAAATCAAGAAAGGCAGAAGCAAAAGCTATCTCCCTTTGCTCAATTTATGGCACGAACAGACCCTTCAAAACAGGAGTTGATGACTTAAGATTGGAGACTTTTTCTCTTATCGTTTCCTGGATGGCCACTTTATGAGTATATTCCTTTTATTTTATGCTCTACTAGAAATAATAACAGCTTTGTATAAAAACTGAAGTTGGCAAAGACAGAAACAGTTATAGCTGGTTTTAGGAAACCCGTAGAAGATTCATTCCATACAAATTCGTTACAAGAAACCAATAAATATAATACAGGTAGGTGATTGGAAGTAGGAAATCATTAATTAATACGTTGAAGTTTACTAGGAAAATGCAGATTCGGTTGTTGTTAACTGGTGCCGTCTGTGCTGATACAGTGTGCAATGGTGAAACGACAGGGACGTTTTCTTCTATGGCCAACTTTTTGACACAGGAAACGTATGTTACGACCCAGACCAAGTTATGAAGCCGCCAACCAAATATTTTTCAACACGTCCCTTTCTTCCGTGTTTGGTTACTGAATTTTCGACAATTGGATTTCTGTGGACTTTAGAAAACCTTTGCTAAAACAAATAATAATAAAAAAAAGTTTATATTCATGATTTCAGATAATTACAAATTCTGAGAAGTATTTTTCTTACTAAATATATATTTATAAGTTTTATACCAATAAAATAGTAACATGTTAATTTTATACAAATTAGTTTTTAAATACATTTTTAATAACAGTTTTGAAAAACTATCCCTAAAAATGCTAATGTCAAATTGTATTAAGCAAACGATACTACTAACAACAATAAAAACTATAAGATGATTGATGTAATGTAACTGTTTGTTTCTTTAATAAAAGTAAAATATATACTTAATATTTTTTTAGTTTTTAGTTTTTAAAAATTAAAAAATAAAAACAGATTTAAAAAATATTTTGTAATATAAAAGAAATTTTTAACAAACCAATGATGTAATAATTTTTTTAATTCTAAAACTTAAAAATTTGATATATAAAATCCTGACAAGTATTCTAAAATATAGAATATATGGAAGATTTTCCCTCACCAAGTTAAATCCAATTCATCTGTAAAAAACGATACCTTAAGAATAATGCACAAATGAATATTCTTATAAGAGAATTATTGACATTTTTTTTTTATCAACATCTACTTTATAACTCTTATTCAATAATGTAATAATAATGAATATAAATAAACATAAAAATTTAAATTATTATTATTTTTTATATTATTAAAAAAAAAGTCATAAAAAATGTGTGGTTGAAAAAAGTTATCGAATATAATTTTTCTTCTTGTAATTGGACACGCGTGTATTTGATTGTGGTTTGTGGGGAAAAATTGCTTGGTCAATGGTCAATGGTCAACTGGTAAGTTGAGACATATTTTCAGTCAATCGAAGAGAGAAGGTGGAAAAAAATAATATTACAGGTAATGTGATAAGAAAGATTAAGAGAATTAACAAAAAAATTGGAATGAAAGGAAGATTAAAAAAATCATTATAATATGTATATCTTAAAATAAATAAATATTGTACACTTAGAAATATATATATATATATATATATATATATATATAATTTGTTAAAATAAAAAATTAGTGAAAAATATATTATATTACTTTTATTAAATCATTTAAATTTTTTAATAAAATAACACAATACACTTTCATTTCTAATTTATGTAAATATTTCTCACAATCAATTTTGTTAACCAAACAAAATACAGTTTTTTATTTATTTATAGGGTTCAATTTTTGAAAGAATAAATTTAAGGATTAATGATTATGTTATATTATATTATATTATATTATATATATATATATATATATATATATATATATATAATTGTAGTACTAAATATCTTCTAAAAGTTATATGTATTATAATTTTTATCTAAATATGTAAAAAAACTTATTAATAACTTCGATTAGAAAACAATATTTTAAGAAATTGTTTTTAATTACAATACTTCCTCTGCGAACGTTGACATCTTGCATTGAAGTCCACTTCGCACATTCATGTTTGTTTTGTATCCTCTCCATATATTAATCAGAAAATAATATTTTAAGAAATTATTTTTTATAGTTTCCGTTCATGATAATATTTTTAGGGTATTTTTTTGGTAGAAGTAGAAGAAATAGAGAGAATCCTTAAAGAGAGTTGTCTACCAAACATTAAAAAATATTAAAAAAAATACATTTCCATAGAAAATGAGAGTTTGTTCTGAATATTTCATCACTTATGTCAACCCAAATGCTTTTTTTTTCGAAAAATAAAAATTCCACGTTTAATAACACGTTGTTATTGTCCATAAGAGTTTAAGAATTAATTGAAAAAACCACAAAACATGTGGATTGATTTATGAAAAATTGTTTTAATATTTATTTTTTGGGATAATGGTAACTTTCAAATAAGATTATTCTTTGAATAAAGTAATGAGATAAGATAAAATTGTAAATTTAATTCACATATATGCCTTAGTAATTTTTAAGAACGAAATGTCTTATTAAAAATATGTATAAAGGTTGCTAAACAAACCCCATACCAGCAGATACTAATCTATAAATTAAATACTAATTTTAGAAAATGTAAGAATTAATAATAATATTTACACTATATTATAGGTATAAAGTATTTGTTAGCTCATCAATCATTGATTTTCACCCAAAAATTTGACTAACCACCGTCTAATCAATTCATACATATCCTATATAAAAAATTCTTTATAACTCATAATTTAACATAATTAAATATATTAAATTAGGAAAATAATAATTTTTCTTCTTTAGAGATAACGAAAATGATAAAAAAAAATTATTATTTTTTTATATCAGACATATTTTTTTTTTTATGTATGAAAAAAAAAGAATGAAAAGTGAAAATTTTTATTTTATAAAATATTTCTATCATGAATAAATATTTTAATAACCTAAAAATAATTATATAAATAATTTTATAATTACATAAATATTAAATTATAATTAAATAATAATTTTATTTACTTTTATGTGACTTTTCCTTTAAAATAATAGGTATATTTTTCATTATATTTCATTTTTTTTCTTTTTTTTTCTTCACAATTTATTCTTTATTATCATACAAAACCTAAATTATACAAATGTCTTTTTATTTATATATTTTCATTTTAGTCCCTCTCCAACTTGCACCTACACCCTCTTCTTCGCAACCAATCATAAAAAATAAAAAAAAAGAGATTTTTTTTTTTAGTAAGAACCAAAAAAATGGCATCTTTAACACGAGAGAAATTAAGTCGGGGTCACTTACGATTTCATATTTGAAGCAATGTTTTGATTTTTTTGGAGGAAAAAAAATTAAGAAGGAAAAAGGAAAATCTGTTGGCGTGAAAGAAAGAGGACGAATAATTTAACCATTTTCTTCCTCGTATTTGTCTTTTAGATTTATGTCTATCGATGATAAAGTTTTCAAAAATCAGTGGCAAGAAGGTGGAGTGTAAACAAATAAACTTAATATATGTTTTGAAAATCATTCAAACCACATTCAACTGAGATTTTTTGCATTTCAGTGCATAAACGGAGAAGGAACTTTAGTTATTATCTCCAAAACACACATTAAGAAGTTTAATGTGACTTTTTTTTTTTTCTCAAATCTCTGAAAACGAAAGGGTGAGGTCGAGAATAATAGTATATTATTTGATGCATTCAATGTAATTCAGTGAGCAATATGAAGCACACGACAACAATTCGTTGCCACCGAAGATATATGTTGATCCTTTTCTTCCCACCAATTATGTGTCGAGTAATTTAAGATATTCCTTGTTTCTATCTCGTGGTCAAATGTTCTTAGACGATGTTACATTAACTTTATTGACAAATTATTCCTCTACGTCGTTAGTAGAATGGTTTTTGCATAATCAATTAATTCAATATGTACTTATATTATCAAAGATAACGAAGTTTGATAGATTGAAGATTGTGACATCTGTGAACAATTTCTATGAGTAATTAATAAAAAACCACTAATACCAAACAGAACCAGTTGATGGTGACTTATAAGCTGACAAAACCTAAAAACATGGCTAGCTGGACAATAGGCGCATCACAACACGCCAAGTTATGTCTAACAATAAAAAAAATCATAAAATATAACAACCCTAATTTCACCAGCAATTTTTTGTAACCAGTTGAAAATAATTCATACTAAAGCAAATAATAATAGGTTAATGATTTTTTTTTCATTTTTGACCAAAGAGGAGACTTTTATTTTTCTTAAATATCACATTTGAAGAAGTTTTAAAGTTTGTCTATGGTGAATGTACAAGTTTTTTTATTATCATTAAAAAAAGTCATTGATAAGATTTTTAAGATAATTATTATAAAAACTAACTAGTTTAATGAGCTAGTCGTACAAATTTTCTTTTAACACGTGTTTTCACTCTTTTTATTAATACTGAACTTAATGATAATAATGAAGAAAAGTTTAATATGTGTACTAAATATTTTAATTAGTTCAAAATAAATATTATATATATATATATATATATATTAGCAATAAATATTTTCTTTTTTTTACTACTTTTACAGTTTAATTATCATATCAATGTAAAAATAAATAAATAAAATCAGTGTCAATCATTTAGAATTCGCCTTAGATAAATTTTAAGGTCTAGTGAAAGGAGTTTGA